CACATCCTTTATTGCATAAAGTCCACCCACGGGCTAGAGTTGTCCCTGTGCTCCGTTCCTTAATCCGAAAACCATTTGACGAGAACTCAAAATTACAAGGAAAATCTTTTTTAAATTTCAAGGAAAATATTTTTTAAACTAGCTAACAAATAGTAAATTCTTTTTCATCTCTGACACCAAAAGAAGATTAGAAATATTAAATTTTCCAGACCCAACATCAATATTTTGTATCACCAATATATGAAATAGTTAATTGCTCACCATTACCAATCATGGTTGTATTTCTACCACTCTAAGGGTGAACATTTTTCAGTTTACCTGGGTCTCATGTCATATGACTTGAGGCACCAGTATCTGTGAACCATTCCAAGTCTTGGGAATTTCCAATAATCATTGCAGCAAGAGCTTGAGGAATGTTTTTTTCTTGGTACATATGCTTGAATTGGTGCTAGCACTTACTGCAGTAGTCCAAATTTTCCTCAAATTTAACGCTTTTCCTGAGGTGTCTGAGTTGATTGTTGTATCTATGAACCTTGTTGAAACCTTTGATTCGTATGTTGCATAGATGTGCCACCATGTTTTTTGGTTTCTCCGAGACACACCACATCCGCCATTGTTGTTTTGACATGTTTGAGAAAATCTACGCCCTCGAGAATTAAAAACTTGTTGACCACTTAACGTTTATGCCTCTACCTCTGTAATTTCTAATACCTATATTAGGTCAAAATTTCTCTGTTGTCCAGCAAGGCCATATTCTGATTTGGATATGAGTGTTCTTCAGAGACATTAGGCTTATTTCTATTCTCATGGCTTTGAAAAAGTGGTATAATTTCATATTATGAAGGAATCAGAGGCTTAAGCATAGTGGTAGCAAAACTCTCATATTTTGGACCAAGTACATTGAGAAGCCAAAATACCTTGTTTTCATCTGGTACAGGTTTGCCAATAGCAACTAAATTATCACAAATACTCTTGAATTTGCATATGTATTCTAATAGGGTTGAATTCCCTTTCTTGCAGAGTTGGAGTTGTCGGGTAAATTGGAACTCCCTAGCTTGAGAATTACCTATATAGGCATTCTACAAGAGTCTCCAAACTTCTTTAGAAATCTTGATGCCAACAACAAGGTTAAGACACTCTTTTGATAATGTCCTTGTGACCTAAGCTTTAAGAAGCTGATCGTACTTTAACCATGATTTGTAGTTTGGGTTTTCGAGTTCACTCTTATCATCAGGAGAGAAAATCTTTTGACTTAGTGTAGGGCAATCACCATTAATGAATCCAAAAAATTCCTGACTTTCAATGAGAGAAAGCATTTGAGTTTCCCATAATAGATAGTTATTATGTGTCAACTTACTAGACACAAAGTTTCCTATCTTAAGTGTTGAGGGATAGGGATATTTGTTTAATGAGGGTGAAGAGGTATTTGATGACAGTATATGAGAGAGTAGATTTAGAGAATTTTCTGTTTTTTTTCCTTTTTCTTTTTCTTATTTTTTGTTGGTGGGGAGATTAGGTATATAAAAGAGAGTGCTATATGTTAGATTGGGCTAGGCATAAGAGGATCGGATGATATGGTTATGAGTGATAAAAGAAAAAAAGAAAACAATAAAAATAAAAATAATATAGTGGGTTTTAATATAGATCCATAAAAGACGTGAGATGAAGATGCTAAGTGAGAGAGAGAATTGGACGGAAGATGTAAAAATAAAAAGATGTAAAGAGGTTGAAAAAATTGTTTATAAGAAGATGTATCGAATAACAGAAATGTAAACGGTGTAATGAGACTTAGACGAATATTTTAGATACAAGAGAAGAAGCAGACGAATTTGGTTTGCAAGACCAGATTTGGTTTGTAAACAAGACAATTTTGTTTGCAAAATTTTGCAAACAAGACCAATTTAACTTTGCAAAAAATGGATGGACGCGTGCATACTATCGATGAAGGCGAAAAAAAAAAAGACGAAAAAAATCCAAGAGAGAGAGACGCACCTTCAATTTTAGAGAGGAATAACTAACATAGAGGTCGAGATTGGGATCGATGATTGCTCTGATACCATAAAGCAATTTTAGGGAGAGAGGAACTCTTTGAGAAAATAGTTGTGCCCTACAAAACTCTTATGGTGGTTCTTTCATTGTATATGTAATGATAATACAATAGTACAATATACACTTTCCTATGTTGTTACATGCAATATATACTTTCCTATTTTGTTACATTCTCTTCTCAAAAAGTAAGAACAACATCTCTTTCCTATCTTGTAATATGTATTTTACTATTTTAAATTCTTTTTCTATTAAGGATGATGCAAGGGTTCAAGAAGTATGAACAACCCCAAATGTGAAGACACAGTTCATACATGAGATTGAGCCTTAGATGGACGAGTGCTGAGGTAGAGAAGAAAAACAAAAGGGTTGAATTTATGATGAAGTGGGAAGGGCCTACCGCCCAAGGAGGCTAACTGGGAAAGAGACACAACTTTATGGGAGTACGAGGGTCAGGTCCAAGAGTGCCTAGCTCAAACTAAGAAGACGATGTCAGGTTCTTATGGTGGGGGAAGCTTGTCAAACCCTTAGGTTGGTGCATGGGTGCTGCTTAAGGGAGAGAGCCTTAGAATCTCCCTTGATCCAGTGGGCTTAAGCATGTAGCTGTACCATGGTGCTTATGGTGCACGTGTGCCACATTGGCGGAACGGGGTACCACTCTTGCTCGCCAAAGTCCAGACCTTTGTTGGGCATCAGTGGCAGTATACCTTATAATTGTAAAGAGTTGAATAAAGTTGGGCTCCAACACTTTGAACCCATGGGTCCTTTTGTGTGTATGCTTTTGCGTGAGTGCACTAATGTGGTGATGGTGTGGTTGGTGGGTGAACTTGTGCTCTAAATTGACTACGCTTGTGAGCCAAGGCCGCATGATGTGATTAGGAGAAGAAAAAGTGTAGTGCATCTATGACACCTTTCACCATGTTATTTATCAACTCTCGGTATTATTCTATGCTTTCTGATAAAAGATATCGTGACTGTCATTTCCAAAATATTAGTTAATGATGTATCAGAATAACATGAGAATCAAACCGAAGTTGTTTTATCTAGTTTTTTCGATGTGGTTTGATACATTAACGAAATGCTTTTTTTTTTGCTTTGGTAATTCAATGGAGAAGATAAGGCCCTTCCCGTATTTTCATTTAGATTAGGGAGTTAGCTTTTTTTTAGGTATCAATAGTGGTGTGAATAGGATTAGAAACCACAATGTGATATCGAGGTATGGGCATGCTACCTCCATGACCCAGCCCCTTTCTTATTAAGGAAAAACTTTAAACCTTTGTATATCTCATCCTTGATAATTGCAATCGAAAATGTTAACAATACATTGGCCATTTGAATGTTCAATATCTTACATAGAAACTTTGATCGGGAATAAAAGTGTTTTCTTTAAATGAAACAATAGGCCTATTATTGAAGGAGCAGGTTGGTCCAGTTTTTGAAGTAAATAAGGGTATAATATAAAAAAAAAAAATTCAATATATTCTCTGCTGTTGAGGTTCTCTACATATCTTGACTCAGATGATTAATTGATGCATAACAATGCATTTGAAATAGGAATGCCCAAACTAAAATATGAAAAGCATGGTGAGCTAAAGTAATTTAGATTAAAAGTATGTAAAAAGTAAAAGCTCATCAAAGGACTTACCAAGAGATAAGTTTATGAATGGCTAAAGTTGAATAGATCAATGAATATATCATCTGGTAGTGTTTTGTACGCAAGGTGATTTTCATTAACTGGGTTTTTCCATCAACTAAATTCCAAGTAATTGCCACCCAGATGGCCAGATACAGAGTAGAAAACCTGGATAGGGGGACTTACACTACCCAGAAAAGAGGATTTAAAGCTAGTGAGCCATGTTCAAAGAAAACATCATTTATGGATGGTAGTACACTATATGAAGATTGACTCTTTTCCCAACAAAGGAGGTAAAAAAGAGGTAAATCTAGGTCATCTTCCATTAATTTCTAGAAGAGTGACGAGCCATTTTCACGTAAAGAATATAGCAATCCCAAGAGATAAAAAGATTGGCACATCCTAAGTCGAAATTGAGAATACTGAGTACTTCATTTAGCAAATTTTTTTTCCCTGTTTTCATTATCTCAAACTGAGCTAAATTGGTCCAACAAGGCTATGAGGATTTTTCTCTAACATTTGATTCAAAAAGAAAAATATTAATAGGAAACTTTAGGTTGAGCCTAAGAGATTAAAACAAATGGATATCTAACATCTCCCTCCTCACCTCATGCATGGGAATACAAACCATGTAGGTAAGGACAACACATTGTGCATGTCTTAGCCCAAAAGAAAATCCAATGAACTTCATGCACTATTCTTTCTTACTTATGATCTGATTGAAGGTATGATCGTTGATAGAGTTATTCCCAAATAATTAGAACAAAAAAAAACATGGCTAGTATATACTTTTTCTATGCTAGTATTAGTGCTAGAGCTAGAATTGAGGAAGGTGCAACCAAATTGGGAAAGCACCTTTTCACGCTTTGGCCTCTTTCCCATTAGATTAGAGGGGACAAGAGTGGAGAATATGAGCAAGAGTGATGGACCCATGTATTAGAAAGCCACGTACCTTGCATGTGGAAAAAGGTCCTGACATCATTGTGGGATAATCTCTTCTGGGAAAAGGCAAATGGAAGAACACATCAGGCCCATCAGCACTTCGTTCAATTTCATAATTTCAAGTGTGAAAATGGTCGTTTTAACAGGCTTTTTGAGCACATCAGTCAAAGGCCTTCATAAATTTTGAGGAATCATATAGGCGTCTCAAATGCCAAAAGTTTCCATTCAACAATGGCTGCTTCACAACAAATCATCCCTAAATTTTGTAGTAAAGGAAACCTATTTTTGACCTTTTAGAGTCCAAGAAACATCATTAAAGGAAATGAGTCCAAAGAAACAAAAGAGAAAGAAGAGAGACATCAAACATATCTTATGCCAAAAAAACGTTTTATTGGAACCCAAGAAATCCAAACCTCAGAGAAGAAACCCAATGTAGACCAGTCCATCAGATTTATATTTAAGCTAAACATGAGAGAGAGAGATGGAGAGAGAAAGAGTAGGTGATCAGATAGATAGATCAAACAAACCAATCAGAGATTGGGTTATTGTTTCGAGTCCTGCGAATCCCACTCCACCAATTACGAATCGGGCTACGGCTTGAGTGGTTAGAAGCTAACGTTTAGCAGTATTATATCTCAAGTTCGACTCCTAACACTAAACTCAACCCAAAAAACAAAAAAAATCCCACTCCACCAATTCTCCTACAATATACAACCTTCATTTACACCTTCCATTCTCTCTCGTCCCCTTACGTAGAAGCCTGATACTTGGACTCTAGCACACCCTGGTAGCCTTCATCAAATAAATATGAAGAGGTGCAAGAACCAAAATCACTCCACATGGTACTATTACTCTCTCTAACATTGTTATCATCTCCATTGCTCCCACTGTCATTGTTACCACTCATGTAAATATTTGATCCATACAGATAATCCCATGCATCCATCTGTTGTTCTGTTTTCGAGTAGAGATTCTCGGTCGCCATTTCGATTGGATAACGCAACGAACTGTTCGATAAATTGAGAGTTGCGTGGTCCGCATAGTAGTGAGAAAAAACCGATGGTTGGTAGTTCAATTGATCAGGAGTACCACAAGTATGAGCTATGGAGGTTGATGAAGAAAAACTGCTCATTGGGTTTTCTCTCTCATCCAATGCCGCACTCAAATTGGGTGTTGGTGCATCGATGGTGGGGCTCTGATATATGTCATCTGAGAATTTTCCTCCAAGCTTTATCAGTAGTTTTCGGATAGAAGCATGATCATTGAATGATGCATCTCCTTGTGCAATATAATTTATGGACATATGGCTCCCTGGTTTTGTAATGGTAGAGAGAGAATCAGTTCCTGGAAGGCTAGAGAGAGAATAAGGGGTGCTTATGTTTGTCGAAGAAGACAGGAATGTCGAGACGCTTTCTCTGGTCACTCTTTGAGCCTGTGGGTTGGTTTCAGCCATTGCTGAGAGTCTTCGAGCTTGTTGTTGTTGTTCCTTTCTCTTACCTAAAAGCTTCTTCTTCAGTCTTGTGTTCCAATAGTTCTTTATATCATTATCAGTTCGTCCTGGCAATTGAGCTGCTATTATAGACCACCTGTGCATGTAATTTCAATGACCAATTAGACCCAGTGGAAATAGAGAGAGAGAGGAGAGAGAAAGAGAGAGATCATTTGTTCCACCTGCTTCCTATGCTTATGTAGAGGCTGCAGATGATGTCATCTTCCTCTTCAGAAAAACCGCCATGTTTTATATTGGGTCTGAGGTAATTCAACCATCTGAGCCTGCAACTTTTTCCGCATCTCTTGAGGCCTATTCAGGAGAATCATAAGAAGAAATTTTTAGAGCGAGAGAGGAGCGTGGGCGTGCCTGTTTCCTCGAAGCGAGATAAACTTGATAAAGAGTTTAAGAGATAAAGAGAGAGCCTGGGTGGGCGTGTTTGTGTAGAGAGAGAGAGAGAGAGAGAGAGAGAGAGAGAGGGAGGGAGAGTAGAGAGAGATTAATAAGAGTTGTGTGTGAGAGAGGAGAGAGGAGAGAGAAGAGAGAAGAGATAGAAAGCAGACCTATCTTTTGAGGGAGGGCGATCCAGTTGCCTCCTGTGCCATGCTGCTCTATAAAGGCTTTGAGCTTGGCGTCTTCCTCAGGAGACCATGGCCCTTTCTTCACGTTGGCTTTATCACAGCAGGGAGCTCTACCCATGCCTTCCTTCCTGCTCAAGGGACACAGGTGCAGAGAAAATGGTGCCTGAGGGCTCTTAATTTCTAGAGAGAGAGAGACAGAGGGGGTTGAATTGAAAATGAGATGGGGAAAATGGAGTTTATAAGAGAAAAGGAGAGTGGAACAGGCAAGTCCATGAGTGTTGATTTTGTTTAATTAATTCAGTGAAGGGGAGGGAGTCGTAAAGACGGGGGCCATTGGAAAAAACCCTGGTATACGAGGCCCGGGTTTTTCTCCTTGTCTTTCTTGAACTAGAATCTATTTTGCATTCATGTGAAGCTAGCCCCACCCCACTCTCTCTCTCTCTTCCTCTTTCTCTCTCAAGCTTCTCGCTCTACAGTGTGAACCAAGCCGCCACACACGTGTTTGGCATCCTTTCCTTGTCAATGCACAGATGGAAATATGTTCCCATAATTGTATTTACCGTGTGGTGATTTCTAAAGCTCTCGGGCCGCGTTCTTTGTTTTTAGGAATTGTATCGAAAGTCACAATCACTATTAGGCATTAGATGTCCAACTGGATATTAAAGTTCGATAAATTTTTTTCAAAATTTTGAGTCTAGTCAATGACATACTTACAACCATGGTAAAATTCGATGAACAAGAGTAATTTAATGAACAAGGAAACGAGTACCCCTCTACGGAATTCCGTACCCCAAAATAAACCCACAATAGTAAAGCTCAATCTCTCACTTTAGAACTATAACTAAGCCTTACATCGGAACCCATCAAACCTACCCGAGTTTTTAGCTTTTTCCTTAGTTAGGCAACCTTGACCACACCCGCCAACCCATACTCATAGGTCAAATTGTTTTCAAACAGTTTTTGAGTACCTTGCTTTGAGCTAGTTTCAAGTTCAAGACTAAGGTAGGCTCGAGAGTCTTGGTCCAATCAAGTTCAAGTTTAGGTCTAGCCCAGTCTACGTAAGTCTTCAACCATCTAGGTTCGAGTATAGGTTGTGCTCAAGTCCAAATCTAGATCCAAGTCTAGGTCTAACCAAGTTCAAGTATAGGTCTAGAAACGTCTGAGTCTAGCCTAGTAAGGTTTGAATTTAGGTTAACTTGGGTCCGAGCACCGATCTAGTAAGGTTTGAATCTAAACCTAATTAAGTCCCAGTCTTAGTTAGGTCTAGGTCTTTAGCCCTAGGTTGTAGGCTAAAAGTTCCAACTTGGGCCCACACTTAGGTCCACATTTAAGGCTCAAGCCCAGTCCATGGTCCAAGCCCAGACCTACTCTAGGTCATGACCCAAGTTCCAAACCCAGGTTGATCTCTAGATATAGGTCTAAGTTCAATTTAAGTCCCTGTCCAATCTAAGTTAGGCCCAACCCTTCCATTCTAAGATTCATGGCTTAGGACCATACCAAGATGCGATTTGATCCTTTAGCCCAACCTTGGTCAAGGAAGCCAGGTAAGCTTCTGGTGCATCACCAAGGTGCACCCTCAACCAAATATGAGGACTACGAATCCCTCGCATTCGAGTATCTTAGGGATCTACCCCAGATTAGAGCTTTCTTAAGGCACACTAGCCTTGTAGGGCCCTATGACTCATCTCGGGACTTAGGTTGGCATCCAAGACATGGTTGGGGACCTCTTCTGCCCCTAACCAACAAGGTCATGTCAGTTCCACCCTATCAGCGAACCGACATTGTCAAACCATTCGTCCTGAATCTTCTGCGATGCTGACTTGACCGTAGGGCCATCTATCTTGGAACCCACCATCTAGGCCTAATCCGTCTTTGGGTTCACATCATTACCCACTGGCATAGTCTCTTTAGACTGCCCTAACTCAATACTACTACTCGCAAGCAGCCTACGTACTGCATCAGTCGGTACCATCCCTTCTGACCACATCTCCAACCTGTAGTCATCACCATCTGGGGCAGCCCGTTCAACCAACCCCAGGAGTTCATCTATAATCGCTAACCTAGGGTTACCAGCCATCAGCTCCACTAGTCCAAGTCGCCCCTAAGACTTGTTCATGTCAGCCTCCAGCTTAGGCCTCTTTGTCTGTGTGACCTTCTCATTTAGCTCCGATAGCTCCACAGACTCAGTCTACTCCTACTACTCCTGTGCAACCCACGTCAGTTGATTCACTGGCACACTCCATGCAATCAGAATCTAGCAACCAACAGGCTGATGAGGCCAAGAACTCTTAGTCAACTGAGCTAACTTAGCTGAAAATTCAAACAAAACTTGGCAAAAACGGGAGTCTTGATATTCTCCTAACTTGATCATATGTCAAGGACATTCTCGAGGATGACGAACCCTCCCATTGGTTTTCGAATTCCCCTATTTTGAAAACAAATTTAGTGGGAAGGTTGACCATGAAAATCATGTCACCGCTAACCTTCTATATGTTCTATCTATTGAAAACAGACCTTGCCGACTCAAGGCCATGTTTCAGTATACTCTCTCTAGACAACCTCTAACCTGGTTTCGAGAGACAATTACTACATACTCGGATCAAACTCATGATGAAATGTTTCGATGTTTTGTCAAGAAATATGGTGAGACCAGACAACAACCTTTGACCCGTGGTGAATTGGTTGCCACCCGACAAGATCTTGGTGAGTCATTTACGAACTTTGTAAAAAGGTTCCGGGATGTTGCATCAAAAGTCATTGATTGCACACTCTTTGAGATCTCTATGATCAGTATAGCCATAGAAAATGAGTCCGTTGAGTATAAACTTTACTTTAGCAAAACTTCTCGGTCTTTCTCTTTTGCCTCAATGCTTGAAATAGTTGCATGCTATGAGAGAGCAATGGAAAGGGCTCGAGGGAAATTACTGGCCATACTTGAGCTAGAGCCAGATGAAGTAATACTGGAGAAAGAGCTTGACTACAATAAAGAGTCATTTGACAATGACTCTAATGAGATAATAATTCAAGAGCATGAAGCCCATCCCTAGTCAGAATCATCATGGCTTAGGAGTACAGATGGAGCTCATTCTTGACAAAACCAGGTGATATCATATGATACGATTATTTCACATGAAGATGAAGAAGTCTTAGCCGATATTAGTTTGATAAAGGCCGATGAGTTAATATCCTTGCCCAAACCTGAAGATCATACAATACGGCCTTGTGGCACGGGAAGAAACCGACTAGAAAGTTTAGTAAATGAAGAACAAAATGATAAGATTACCCAATATCATATAGGTAGGTAGGGGTGGCAATGGACCAGAACCCAACCCAAGACCCATCGGGTATACCCTACACGGGTCCAGGTATGAGTCCAACATTTGGTCAGGACTAGTCGGGTCCAGGTCCAAAACCTGACCAGTACACTATTGGAGTCCAGGTCCAGTTGGGCTTGACCTGTACCCGATATGCAGTCTATAGTCTGTAAGCAAACGAAAAAAAGTATTCCATGGGGAGCTCCTATATACTTAGAAAGGTCCAACCAAGAAAAGGAGCATATTGCCTCTATAATAAAAATGGTTACGAAAATCCTCCGGAATTCAAAACCTAATAATGTTGGTCACCCAAAGGAGGACGCAATACAAGCCAAAGATGTGAAGGCCCAAGGGGACCAAATCATCCACCCCAGGGAAATGCTACAAGAGGAGCACGATCTCACTCAAAACCACATGACTAGGTAATCTCAAGAACAAGATGTCAAGAATTACCTTAGACCGGGGTCCGCGATTCAAGAGAGAACAGAAGAACATACTACCTCAAAAAGAATTCCAATTAGAGTCGAAGGCGCTAATCTGCAGGAGAGTAATAAAACTGAGGCATCTTAAAAACAAATTTCCATGGATTTCCTTAGCCTAGTATCCAAAATCGAAGAAGAACAAGATGAACAAACTTCACAAAAATTCCAGTTGCGGTTGAAGAAAAAAACAACTGAAAGGTTCCACACTGCCCTATCCTAAACTTTGGGGCAAGGGCAAATACTTGAAACCTTGTGGCTAGGGATTCTCAAATTCACAATGATGGGAATAACCTTAGCCAAGGTTCGTGTGAAAGTGTGAAAGAAAATCCAATAGGGGCAATCCATGTTTTGCTTAGGAACGCTACTCCATGGCACTGACGGCTTAAGGGGTCCAAAAAAGAAAGAATAAAAAAAAGGAACATAATGAAACAAAATATGAGGTTAGCCAACCCAACAAGAGATTGAAGTACCAAGCTGAGAGTGACTCCAAGTATGAAGTACTCAATAAAAATCCAACAACCACTATCAAATGAATGTTGGATATCAACCATAGGCAATGAAAATCTAGATAAAATCATTATTAGAATCTCCTTGCCACCTAGAAGAAGGAAGGTTGATCAAGTTCTCATGTAAATATAGGACGAAGTGCTAAGAAGGAAAAGACACAACTGACACTTCTTCTCTCCTCTTCTTTCTTTGTCTTCTTCAGAAAGTGAAAAAAAGAGAGAAGAAAAAAGGAAAGGAAAAAAGAGGAAAAGAAAAAAAAAAAAAACAAAGGGCTGAAAATCCGAAAGGAACTTCGAGCATTGAAAAAAAGGCCACCCAGCTGAATAGCCAAAAGTTCCTTAAGGGCGATTAAAAAAAAAAAGAACAAAAAAGAGTAGTAGTTCTCTCTTTGTCTCTTCTCCAATATTTCTAGAAATTCTTCTCAACTTCTCTTCTCAAATCAGAATGGCGTAAAAAAGTGAAAGAAAATTGGAGGTATTAGTCCAAGTAAACCTGAAGAGCCTCGACTATCTAAACTTCACCAAGGTCGTTAGTGGATGAATGAAACTGGAAGTTCAAGGGGATTCAGAGCACTCAATGGCAATATCCAATGATATCCAAGACGTCGGCTTACTCAACAAACTTCAAAAGACTCTCCCTTGAATTGGAACGCAGGAGCTAACATTAGACGATGATGAAGTACCCATTGATTCCTCATCCTGAAGTTCCCAATCAGAGGTTTGGAAAGCTAGTATTCCGGAAAAAAAAAACAAATCCATTTTAGCATGAGCCTAAATTGCTTACCAACCTGTTTTAAGAAATTCTCTCTCTTTTAAAAATTTATCTCTTTTCAAAACTACTAAATCTTTTTTAAGAAATTGTACAAGCCCATATGTGATGTTACCATGTTTTTGCCTTCTCTAAAAGTCTTGAAGCAT